TTCCAAACCCAGCCCTCAGGCATGCTCCTAGGTCACGTGCGGTCCCGTGAAAGTTTTAGCAGGAAAATTGCTAACTCGAGAACCAGAAAAGTTGGGAGACTCAGATATTTGGAGAATATTTCTTGTCCAAATAAAACTTAAATCTTCAAATTCAGTCTTCATTTACGCGCGATTCTCGTGTACGGGCAATTAAATTTCTGGCGGGGTACGCGTGATTTTCGTGTACGGGCAATTAAATTTCTGGGGGGAAAATTACTCATTGAACAGTTGGGCTACTTTCAAAAAACACCGCTAAACGGAAATACTTTATTTACTTTTATGCAAAATTTACGATGATTTTCGGCGTTAAGCACACAAGGTAGGTGTGGAGAAACAACCGTTCATGCAGTTAACCCAACTCAAGTTTCGTGCAAAAACGCATGATCGCTCCGGCTTGCCTGGTGTTGCCTGGGTTTCGGTAAATGCTTTGTGAAAAAAATGACAAATGCAAATTTCCAGTTCACTAAAAAGTGGAAGTATTGCTCGAGCGGTCATTTGTTAAAAAATGCATGTTCATTTACATATACGACTGTGGTTCAGGTCCGAGTTGCGAGCGATTTTTGAGTTCATGAGCTGGTTGAGGCTGTGGTTGGGGAGCTAGAGAGCTGAGTTTAAAATTTTTATCTTGCACGTGCATAGAGAATATCCCTGCAAAGTTTCAGCTTTCTACGTTGCCTGGTTCGCGAAATCATTTCCCGTCAACACATTTCTTTGGGGGTCCCGCACTCGGGGTCAAGGCGCGTATGGGAAAGATCTTAAAACGGGAGGATGACACGCGGGGTAGGAACATATATCCAAAGTTTCAGCCTCCCAGCTTTCCTGGTCGCTGAGATGAAAGTGGGTGACAAAATGCACTCGCTTTCCGAACACACACACACACACACGCAGACAGCCTCTCGACAATGTGCGTTTTTGCTGGCTGTAACAGCGCTATAGCGCTGCACAGCAAAAACGCATAAAAATGCAACATGACACTTGCATCGATATATATGCGTTTATAGAATGGCGAACGGCACAACTCTAAGCGATAGACAGTAAGGCGGTTTTCTTGCAAATGATGGCATCATTTTCATCCATTATTATCCAGAAATCATTTTTTCCTCTAGCTTCAACTCAGCAGCGACGCACGCCGCTGTTGTCGATGCAATCATGTGTTCTTGCACGCTGAAGTTTTCCTTATCAGCATGCTGGATATAGGGAAAGCTGATACTGCATTTTTCGTGTCGTACACCTTATATTGGCTTTCTCGTAAAATTTTAGCTCTCCAACTTGTCTCATTACCGATACAGAACCCGACATTATTGCTATTTGAAGTGTTTGCAAGCGGAGCTCATGCTTAAGCAAGAGTTCATTTAAAGACTGCAGGCCCGCGCATAAACGGCATGCAGCTTAAGAAAAACACTGCTTTTTGCTCAGTTTTGCTGCCTAGTTATTTTGAGGCTAACAGCGTTTCAAACTGAATTTTCATATGTGCTCTCAGTGAAACCCATGCCTGCCTCAGAGCTGAATTGAAAATCATAAGGTCGAAAACGGGCGCTGAAAAGATTTTTTTTTTCGTAAAATTTCAGTTTCCTGGCTTAGCTAGACTTCGAAACCGTTTTTTGTTAAAAACATGTTTGTCGTATCCAAACGCGGGACACTGGCTTATACGAGCTGGCACTTTGCCGACGACATCTCGATTTCAAATTTGACGGGTCCATATGCGTGACGTAGACTTTCATGATAGATGAGTTTGAAATCTTTATCTCACCCAAAAGCAGAGAACGCCCTTGTGAAATTTCAGCTTCCGCGTCTGTTTCCGAAACCGTTTTCCTTCCAGAAATTTTTTTGCATTTTTGTCTTTCAGGCGGCCGTACATTGAATCCAAAACGTACAGAAAATACAGCTGTGAAACGGGCAGGAACATGCGGTAGAAATTTCGGATATCTACCTTCTTTGGTTGCTGATTTGAAAGTGGTTGACAAAATGTACCTCGAACACACACACACAAACATATACGCGCATATGCATGTAGGCATACGTGTAAGGCGACTGAATAGTTTTTATCTTTTTTTAGCGGGTGTCTATTTGCTTTGCACGCGTGCAAGCGAACCGCATCTGCGGTGATTATGGGCTTCGGTATTTTGCGGTGAGACTGTTCAGGACACAGTAATACTGATTTATCTCCCACAGAAGTAAAAAATATCCATGAGTGATTTAATAATAATCCCCGCGAAAGTAAAAGATCCAGTGAAAGCGGGTTTCAATCACAGTTCGAGTTCTCACTTCCCAAAATTACAAGCCTTTAATGTCTTCATGTTTATTCCCCACATACCCCTTCTCCCCACCGTTCTTTTTCTCAA